GGTCGTGCGGTAGCTGCCGGAATCCGATGCGGGTGAGTCGAGCGTGCAAGTACTGCTGCCACAGTCTCGGGGCCTGTTTGATCCCGTACAAGGACTTCAGTAGCTGGCAGACTTGGTGAGGTTCTCCATGAGAACCGTGTGGAAGTTCGACGAAGATCTCTGCGTCGACAGGTGCGTAGAGAAAAGCATTGGCAACGTCGATTTGCCGCAGTTTCTTTTTCTTCATAGCGGCGACTGCGAGAAGAATCCGTAGTGAAGTGTGTCTGCTGACCGGAGCGAATGTCTCGGTGAAATCACGTCCATGTTCTTGATCGAAGCCGCGTACGACCCAGCGTGCCTTGAACTTGTCGATGGTGCCATCTGCTTTCGTCTTCACCCGGAAGACCCACTTCCCGGTGAGTATTGTCTTGTTTCGTGCTACGCCGATAGGAACAACTTTCCAGGTGTTGCGCTCCTGTAGTGCTTTCAGTTCCTTGTCCATGGCTTCACGCCATTTTTCCCTATGCTCCCCCCCAGAGCCTGCTGAACTGTGGCAGGCTCCTTAGGAGTATCGATGCCGTGGACCGCGGTGACGAGACCAAGTATCTGAAGACCACTCTGTGTGTAGCGGGGGAGTGTTATGTCCTCGGGATAAGCTGCTTCGTCACCTGCTTCTGGGTCAGGTGTGAAATTGGGCCCTACGCGTTCTGCTTCGTTGGTGTTGACTTCTGCAGGTGTAACGTAACCAGTGTCGGCGAGGTCGAAATATGTTTCGGCGTTGACGCTTTCGCGAGGATTTTCGTCATCCATCGGGATGGGCACGGAGCAGTAAGGGAGTGGTCCTGCTTCATCCGAGGCGTTATCCACGTTCTGCTCGTCCCAATCAGCTTCGTCTGCTGCCGAGGCGAAGTGTCGGTCACCACGGAAGCCACCTGTGGGATCCCGATTTCCTTCCAGGTTGGCAAGATATGTCGGAAGGGTGAGTCGTTCGTAGAAAAGGACGTCACGTGCTGCTACTGTTTCTTTGGAGTGGACGTCGAAAATCTTCCACGCGTTGTAATTCCTTTCGATGCCCAGGTGTAATCCCCACTGTGCGCGTTGGGAAAATCGGCCGGCTCGTGCAGATGGGGGTCGGTACTGTACCATGCAGCCGAAAACTCTTAACATTTTTGTGCTGCCCTGTTTTCCTGTCCACAGCAGGTGCGGTGATGCGTTGTTCGGTAGTGACGACGACGAAAGCAAGTTGTGCAGCATGACAGCGTGGTCCATCGCTTCAGGCCACTGGTGATTGGGCAGTCGCATGCCACGCAGTAATTTGCGCATGGTGTTCTGGAGAGTTCGATTCATCCGTTCCGCCACGCCTTGCTGTTGATGGGCGTAAGGAAGCGAGATGAGCCTCTTGATTCCCTTTTCTGCCAAGAACTGCTTGAACCTCTGTGAGGTGTATTCTCCTCCTCCGTCTGACTGAAAGCTTTTCAGTTTCTCGCCTGATTCTCGTTCTGCTACTGGGAGCCAGGCAATGAAGGCTTCGAAGGCCATGTCCTTGCTCGGAAGATTGAGATGCCAAACGTAACGGGTAGCTGCATCGATGAACGTGATTGTATAACTGTATGCTCCTTGTCCAGGTTCGCGGTTGTACAAGATGTCGCTCTACACTTTCTCAAGTGGTGCGTAAGCTGGTGCGCTGGGGTTGTGGTGAGAAGTAAATGGCCGATGTGGTAAGTCAGCTTCGGGGCAGGTAAAACACGTTCCTTGCGCTCGTCGAAGTTCACTTCCGTCCGTTAGGAGTAGTGAATCCTTGTCGAGTACTCCGGCTCGGATTGTATTGCTTAACACCGTGTTGCTTGGGTGTCCCATTCGTGAGTGCCAGATGTCTTCGCTGGCGCGATGTCCGGGTGAACGACGATACAGGTCGGAGTTGGAGTAAAAGGCGGCGGTGAAGTTGGCGCTTCTGTGAACTTCGCGAGGAGTTGGATTTAGCTGCTGCGCAGGAGTCGGTAAAGTATTGTCGATGTGTGGCGATGTCGTTGAAGAACTTGCGACTGGTGTTGTAAGTGTTGTTGGTGTTGCCGATGTTTCTTCTGCTGCTGCTGATGTTGTTTCTGCTGCTGCCGAGTGTTGAATCGTTGCTAATGCTCTTGTTCGTTCTGCTTCAGGGATGGTGTGCGAGTACCAGAAGCCTTCTGGACTGAAGTCGGGGTCAAGATCCGGTGGATGTGTCCAAGAGGTGAAGGTGACGATCCCGTCGCTGTCAGCAGTGCCGAGATCTGGGACAAAGTCGAGGACGAATACGTTGTTCTTCATGACCGCTTTCCCGATGTAGAGACCACCCTTGCCGTGGTATAACTTAAACTCCTGAGTGGTGCTATCTGCCTCAAGGTGTATGCCCTTCGCCATCAGCTGACTGACACTCAGTAAGTTGTAACCGAGTCCTTCTGCTATCAAAACCTTTGACATCTGCAGTATAACGTTTGTCTCTCGTGACTGAAGTTGCACTACGCCTTGTCGTCGTGTGCGCAGGTTCTGATTGTTGGCGACGGTGATGACAACCTCGCGTTGAAGTTGGTGTTCACGTTGAACAAAACGTCCTGAAGAGCACATGTGCTGTCCGCAACAGCTGTCCAAGAACCACGTGTCTTTTCCGGACGGTTCGCTTTGAGCGATGGCTGCGTACGTTGGATTTGGTTGAAGTGACTCGCGGCGAGACGTGCTGTTGTCAAGCTGCTCTTCCGGTGAGTAATATGGTGGTGATTCTGTGATGCAGGAATCTGTCAACCGTGTCATACAACTGACAATGTTCCTTGTTTCTTGCGCAGGTTGTTCCGTCGATGGTGTTGAGACTTGTACTTGAGATGTCGGATTTGTTTGCGTTGAGGCAACTTGACTGCTTGAAGGCCGAAGCTGCCGCTGCGTCGGTTCTGACTGTTGTCGGTTAGGACAGTGTGTACGAGGATGTCCTGATGTCTTGCAGAGGTGACAATACGGAGGTACTAGTTTCGGTTGATGCTGATAGTTGTTGTTGTTGTAGCGCCGTTGAGTGTGGAATGCGAATTCAGGTACTGATGTCTTCTTGCTGTGTCGTTCCTCTTGCATGTCCATATCTTGCTGCTCAGCATGAATTTCGGCGCAGAGTGCTGCTTCTGATATCTTTCCGTGCGCTCGGAGTATGGCGCGGGTGGAGCGCCACTGAGGACCGAGGCCGCCGATGATGACTGTGACAAAGGCGTCTTCTGAAATCGATCCTCCGCATCGAAGGAGTTTGTCGCGCAATTCGCGACAACGACTGATATACGCCATCCCCTTTTCGCCTGGTTTCATCTCGACTGTTGTCAGTTGCGTCATTAACCGACTTTGATTTACGCTGTCTGTTGCTTGATACAGGTTCTTCAGGTGGTTGTACGCGAGCTCTGCAGAGTTGCCGTAACCCCGGTAAGACCGTATGTTTTGCTGCTGACTTGGAGTGATATTTCTCAGCAGTATTGTGTACGCCATCATTGACTGATAAGTGTACTGCTGCTTGTCGTACTGTGTGCCGTGTGTTGGATATGGCAGGGACCCGTCGAAGAAGCCAAGAATCTGCGCGCCTTCCATCATTAACTCGAACTCGAATGACCAGGTAAAGAAATCCTTTCCGTCGAAAGGCCTTGTCGTCTGCAGTTTTAAGACGTGCGCGAACTGCGACTGAACTTGAAGTGCATCCAATGTCTTTTCTTGTCTTGATGCAGGCTGCGGGTGTGGCATAAAGCTGACTTAGCCACGTTGGGGCTCATACGGAGCAAAGGTAGGCCGTTGCTGTTGATTTCCTCGTGCGTAGGATGAACCGTCGAGGCTCATCGGTGTTGCGTTGTTGTTGCTGTTGTTTGACTGTGCAGGTGCCCCTTGCTGGTGTTGCTCGTAGAAGGACATAAAGGAGAAGAACTTCTCCATCATGTCTGGATCGAAGGCCGCAGCTTGATTTGCGGGAGTTTCCGAAGACGATGCCCTTGGTCTTGTTGCCGTACCCTCCTCTGTCTGTAGGCCAGAGGCAGGAGGTGGAGTAGGGGTAGTGCCAGGAGAGCCGTTAGAGGAGCTTCTCTCCTTCTGTGTTGCCATTTCTTGTGATGTCGTAGATGTCTTTGATTAAAGTTGAATTTGTCCTGACTGCTCTCATACCATGTTGGGCTGAAAAGGCCCTTTAGGATCTTTGCAGGACAGAATTCAAGGGTAGGATGGTGTAGTAGCGGAAGCGTTTTAATAAAAGATTGTGAACCACCTTGCGCTTGTATGTGAGGGCAAAGTAAGTTGATTAAACAAAAGAGATACAAGCTTTTGTAGGAATACAAAGGAATATGAAGAGATACAGTTGATAACTGTTTTACTGTTGCTGTTGCGGTTCGATACAGTGTCGACTCGGGCAACTGCTCAATATCGAGACAGTTGTTTGTCCTTGCTGTCGCGCTGCATTTGTCAGGTCAAAGGTCGCTGACCTTTGACTTTCGCGTAACCTCCAACAGTTATTCAACCTCCGAGGGTTGACTCACCGATGTTTCGATACGATCTGCTTCGCTTCTGTCTTGGTGTTTCGACACGACAGAGGCGCTTAGATCAGTTGTTTCCAACAGAAGTTATAGGCAAGCATGAGGGTGCACCACCAAACAAGAACATAGAAGTACACTAAGTCTACACTACATGGAGTTATAGAATAATGTATACAATTACATTTTGACAATTTTGACGACCATGATGCAGGAGGGAAACTCCACGCCAATTTTATTTAAGCGCATGGCTCCTGATAGAGGCGCATTTGCCTATAATATGTCTACGCTGAGATACTGGGCATGACCGCTTGACCGTAGCTTGTGCATGGGTTTTTAGACCAGGGGTCTTATATTTTTTTACATTAATAATGAGCAATTAGGGAAAAAAAAATGCAGAATGACTGGTGGACCCTTTGGTACACTGATCAGGGACAAAAAAAAATATGACAGGGTACAAAGCCAACCCTTCTGCCAATGGGGCAGATGTCTGTATGTAAGGCCTTGTTATGGCCAGTGTGGCATATCTTCGAGGCGGGTGAAGTGGAGCTCCACCTGCAGGCGGCGGTGGATGGCTTCGGGTGACGCCAGCAGCCCCTTGCGCAGGTCACTCTCCACCTCCGCCAGCGGCACCGCCGCCAGGAACGCCTTGAGGTACTCTCGGCACGCCTCCGCTCCCCACACCCTCCTCCCTGCCGCCACTGGAGCTGCGTCCCCCTCGCCCTCCCCGCCACAAGCAGGTGCCGCCGAGGTGGGAGGGGAGGCGGCAGTGGCGATGCAGGCAGGAGACGAACCAGCAGTGCACGACGGGGTTTGGGTGGGCTGCTCACTGCTTGCACACCCGTCAAAATTGGTGTTGCTGGTTTCCTTCTCGTGTATGGGTGACCGTGATGGACCGTCAGTGTGTGTCAGCAGACATGCTGTCTTGGCTGCATGCACTGCTGTAGGAAGCACTGAGTCAGCTGCAGTGGATGCTGACTCATCTCCGCATGGTGGGCTGCAGTTGTCTGCGGGAGGACTATCTACATGGTTTGGAGTGACAGCGATGGCAGCAGGCACGCCGTGAGTGTCGGCAGGGAGCAAAGTGATGCCTTCATTCAATTGCCTTGCTTGAAGCACCACCCCTTCCACTTCTGCGACATGCGTTCCTTGTGCTGCTCCCTCTTTCACGTCTACCCCCTTAGCAACATCTACTTCACAGCTCACCGTATCGTTCACCCCATGTGGATGGGAACCCACCCCCCCTGCTCCAGTGTCCACCCCACTGCTGCCTTTGCCCTTCCCACTGCCATCTTTGCCCTTGCCACTGCCCTTGCCTGCCTTCACACCCCATCGCCTGCCCGTCTCTAGCTTGGGCACCTGAGCACCAATGCCGCCTGCCTTATCCTCTGCCCTCTCTGCTTCGTCTGCCCTGCCTTTTTGCTCACTGCTGTCACCAGTACCCTGCGCTTTTGCCTGCCCCCCACTACCATCACCTGCACCACCCTCTCCTCCTCCTCCTCCTCCTCCTCCTGCGCCTGCCACCCCTGCAGCAGTGCTTCCGGGCACAACAGTGGGAGGCAGGCCCACGTCCACCCAGGAGGAGGCATTGAAGAGCAGCATGAAGGCCTGCGAGCACCCCTCGTGCAGCCGCTCGCCCAGCGTGTCAATCAACACACACTCCATGCCCTCCCCGCTTGCCTCCCCCTCTGTGCCACCATGGCCTGCACCTTCACCTGTGTGCTCCCCCACAGGCATATCTAGTACTGCCTGCGCGCCCCCACGCCCGTGTTGCTGCTGGTGGTGGTACTGGTGCTGGTGGGATTGGGAGCGGCGCAGGAGGAGGAGGAAGAAGTGGTCGTTCCAGGCCACGATGTACACGCCCTCGCCTGCCTGCACCACCGCCTCCCAGATGTCATCAAACGACAGCATGCCCTCCAAAAAGCTCAGCTGCTCCATGCCCTTCTCCTCCACGCCCTTCTCCCCCACACCTTCTGGGCTCTCCACACTAGACGCCCGCTCTTGCTTTCCTCCTTCCAACAACGCTTCAGCCCCATTTCCCTTTTCTCCTATGTCTGACGAACTGCCTGTGTGCTTCCCCACCACTTCCTCCTCCTTCCCCCCATCCCCCTCCTCTGTACCTCTACCGCTCTCATCCACAGTGCACACATCCGCCGCATCACCTTCTGCTGCGCTGCTGCCCTGCGTGCGGGCGGCGTCCTCCTTGGCGCGCCTGGCAGCAAGGCAGGGCGGTTGGAAGAAGCCCACGAACGACTGGCTGGGCACGACACACAGTGGCAGCCGGGGAATGGCTGCCGCCTCCCCACCATCGCTGCTGCCGCTGCTGCCGGCATGGGCGCCACCAGAGTCTGTGTTTCCTCCACCATCCTTGTCAGCTGCCTGCTTGCTGACCTCTGCACCCACAGCCTGCCCGCCACGGTCTGTATGGGGGGGTGCATCGGAGTGGGAGTGCTGCACGGCAGCCAGCACGGTGTCGAGATCAAAGTGCCCGTCAGGGAAGCGCTGGTGCAAGTCGCTGAGCGCGCGCAGGCGCCGCCAGTCCGCCGACCCGGCACGGATGAGGTCGTCCAGCTCCGCCTGCCCCGGCAGCGTGCCCTCCCCGTGCGCATGCACCCACGCCGCTATGTGCGCCACCAGCAGCGCACACGCGCCCTCGCCTGCTGCACTGGCGTGGCACTGGTCCACGGTTGCTAGGAACACCGGTGCGCACAGCCGTGCCGTGCCGTCGCGACTCACCACCTCACAGCGCTCCCACTGCCCCACGCGGAACTCGTCCCCAAACAGCTCTCGCACGCTCGATGCCGATGGGGACACTGCCTCTGCCTCTGCCTCCCCTGCACTCGCTGCCTGCTGCTCCTCCAGAGGCAGCTTGTAAAGGGGATGCTCCTGCTCGGCCTCAAGTGCCTTGCGCCTGTCCCAGTCGATCTCGTCGCCCCCCTCCTCCCCGTACGCCTTGTGCAGCAGTGGCTCGCCCCTCTCCTGCAGCGACAGCGTGCGCAAGAAGAGCAGCGGCCGCCGCAGGAATGCACCCACGCCTGCACCCCCTCCACCCCCGCCCCCGGCCCCACCTCCGCCTGATGTAGCAGCAAGGGGCTTAGCTGGGAGGAAGGGCGGGAGGAGAAAGGACTTGGAAGGGGGAGGAGCGTCGGCAGGGAGGGGGTCGAGTGGTGAGATGGGGGACGAGTCCCTGCTGCCTTGGGGAGGGGGAGGGCCTTGCTCGCCTTGGGTGGAGCCGGCACAGGCAGCAGGTGCGAGTTCAGACGTGGCTTCTGGTGCTGACGATGCGGGCTGTGGCGCTGGTGGTGAGGGCAGGTCGGGTGTGGGCGCAGGAGCAGGTGGCAGGCGGGGGGTGGAGGAGAAGAAGAGGAAGGGCGAGGTGAAGGTGAAGAGGCGTGGCGCTAAGGGGGACCTCAGAGGAGCAGTTGTTCGCTGCTCCTCCTCCGCTGCACCTCCCCCACCCTCTGCGCCCACGGCTCCCTCCTCACCACCTCCCTCCCTGCCTCCCTCCAGTGGAGCCACGTGCGCTTCTTGCATTGCAGCCTGCCCTCTCTCACTATGCGCGCTAGAGGGTTGGCCGGGCAGGGAGAGGGTGCGAGGGGGCGAGGGCAGAGCGTGGGGCAGCAGGTGCAGCATGCGCATGCGTGTGTGTACGGGTCCTTCCACGTGCCCTCCCAGGTTCACCTCTGCCAGCGGCCCATAGCACAGCGCCTCCGCTGCTACCATCTCCTCCTCGCCCTCCTCACACTCACTCTCTGCCTCTCCTCCCCCCCCCCTCTCTGCATCCTCCCCTGCCGTCTCCCACACTGCCAACTCCCTTGTCACCACCCCATTCCCCTCCCACAGGATGTTGCTCCCTCGCTCCTTCTTCTCACCCTCTTCGCCCTCCTCCCCCGTCCCCTTATCACCCACCCCTCCTAGTCCCGCCACCTGTTTCCCGCCTGGCCTGCCCCGCGCCCGCCCTGCCCCATCCACCGACACTGACCGCCGCCACACCCCTCCTCGCAGCACATCCAGCAGCCCCATGCTCATGCCCGTGCCCACGCCCGTGCCGGCGCCCGCACCGGTGCTCGCGCCAGCGCCTGTGTCCGCACCACCGCTCACGTCCCCATTGCCAGACGCCCCCCTGTTGCCTGCCAGGGACTCGCCTTCCCCCGCCGCCACAGAAACTTCACGCGCTCCCTGCTGCTCCACGGCACCACCTGTGTGCCTCGCTGTGTTCCCACTGCTCAGCCCCACCCCACGATGGCCGTCACCACCACCACTAGCCAAGGCCTCCATCCCATCCGCGCTGCTCGCCTGCCGCCCCTCCATCCCCTGCCCGCCAGGCCCACTCTCCCCCTCCTCGCCATCACTCGCCCTCCGCTCCACCTGCTCCCACTCTGTATCGCCGTCCCCTCCCTGCACCCAATCGGCCTCCTCCTGCTGCCCACCTCCGTTGCTCTGCTCCGCGCTGCCGCTGCCTGCAGCCCCATGCCCCCCGCGCTCGCCTACCGCGCCCAGGGGCAGCGCGGGGCTCTTGCTCTCCCGGCTGCGCCGCTGCCACCCCCACAGCCCCCCCAGGTGCACCCCGCCACCCCCAGCCTCCCTCACCCCCGTCCCTGCTGCTGCTGGCGCGCCCGCGGCTGGCGTGGCTGGCACTGTCGCCGGTGCTGAGGCTTGGGCCGGGACTGGTGCTGCCGACTGGAGTGCGACTGGGGACGGGGGGACGGATGTTGCTTGCGGCAGCTGGGTGCACTCCACTGTCACCTGCCCCGCGCACAGCAGCACACACAAACACACACAAGCAGAAACGCCTCAGGGTACTGTTGGCACACAGATGCATGCTGAAACGGAAAAGCGAGCATATGGCTGAATGGAAAGGGTGGTGAGAGGGTGCCGGGCAGCGCGGGGGGGGCAGGGGCAGTTGCGTGAGTGGCGACCTGCAGCAGGCCGACGGGGGGCGAGTCGGGGGGGGCGAAGAGGAGCAGCAGGTGGTGCGTGAGGGGCTGCGTGGAGAGCGGTGAGGCGAGCGGCGCCACGTCCAGCACCACCGACGCCACCTGCTGGGGTCGCTCCCTGGGCCTGCTGGGTGCATGCTGTAACGCGACAAAGGGGGGAAATGGATGGGAGTGGGGCAGGTAAGGTTTGACAAGAGATATGGCTACAATTTATAGGAAAAATACACGAAATCGCATGCTTATGTTACGAAAGTGGAACGAGATTGCACGATTGTGTCATGAAGACATGGAGCAAGCGTGAGTGGAGACGTGATTGACACATGGGAGATGAGCCCCTTCATGACTCCCACCTTGTGCACGAGCAGCAGCACCTCCCACGGCTGGAAGAGGCAGCCCTTGCCGCACGGCTCGCCCTGCCCGCGGGCGGCGCGCAGGGCGGCGGGGCAGGGCAGCAGGTGGCAGTCGTGCGCGAAGCCCTCCTCCCACCGCACCATCCCGTGCGGCCCGCGCGGCGGCTGTGCGCTGCTGCACCCGCGCTTCACGGAGCGCCCGAACATGGACCCCATCAGCCCTGCGCGTGCGCCCTTCCACCGCACCTCCACTGCCAGCAGCGCTGCTTCCGCCCCCTCCTCGCCCTCGCCCGTCGCTGCCTCCGCCTCGGCTGCCACAACGGGTGGCACGGCATCAGGCGCAGCGGTGGCAAGTCCCCAACTGCTGGCCTTGCCTGCAAGCGCTCCTTGTAATGATTCCACACTCGCTGCCTGAGCCTCCACCGCCACTGCCGCTGCTGCTGTCGCTGCTACTGCTGCGCTTGCTCCTGTTGATGCGGCTGGTTGTGATGCCGTTGTTGCTGCTGCTTGTTGGGTCTCCGACGAGCTTGCTCTGTCAGCTGCGCCGACAGTGGCTGCTGCGACGGCAGGGGCATCAGCCGGCAGCAGCAAGGAGTAAGACCCACTCTCACCGTTCCACTGCCCATACCTCTCTGCAACAGCCGACCCACCAACCGATCCCGCGTCGCCTGGGCCGGCGGGAGGTGCGCTCCGTAGGATGCCTTCAAGCGCGGGAGGCAAGGCGCCGTCCGCCGTCCCCTCCGCTGTGAGCGGGGAGCACCCGCCAGCCTGGTGGCGTGCTGAATCCGCGAGCGCTGCGAGGGCGGAGAGCACTGCGGGCGGGAGGGATGCTGGGGATGCGAAGCCAAAGGCGTGGTCGACGGTGAGGGAGACGGCCACGGACCGAGGACCCAACACAGCACTGGCGGACTGCTGCTGCTGCTGCTCCTCCCGCTGCTGCCGCTCTTGCTGCACCTCTTCCTCCTGCTGCTGCACCTGTTGCTGCTGCTGCTGCGCCTGTTGCTGCTGCGGCTGCCCTTGCTGATCGTCCGGCCTGTTCAAATGCATGCGCCCAGGGACGTCGCTCGGCTCCCCGCACTGAGCCTCAAGGACGGCCTCGCTGCCGTCCACGCCGCGAATCCACGGGTGCAGCTGCGGCAGAGACACGGAGCGATGGCCCAGCATTGCCATTGTTGTACGACAGGGTAAGTGACCGAGCTGAGCCACGCCAAACTCTATCAAGATGCGAAATCACGACAGATCATGATGTTCGAGAATCTCCGGTGCCTCCCTAATTAACTTCTCCGATACTCGCGGCATATAAGCTCGCTTCATGGTAACAACGCCTCAAGCTGAAACCTGCCCTTGTCACGGAATGCTTCAAAATAACCTATGGCAATTCCGCGACCAATGCCCCAGCCCTGTAATATTTGCCTACTAGTGTACTGTACATTCCTGTCTACATTCCGTCATTTGCTCAAGAGAACGGGAAAATTGGTGGCCTTCACAAAAGATGTGAAGGTGGTGTACTTCGCATGTTCTCATTGGTTGCCCGTCACACTCAGGAGGTCGAAATCGGGGAGGTGTGTGGAAAGGTGGGGGGAGTGACAGGGGGAGCGATGGCGGGCGCGGAATCAACATAGCTGGAGGGGGGGTGATGATGACACAGGGTTTCAAAATGAGTGGCAGCGGGAACGGTGGTGGGGGGCGCAAGGAGCGCGTCAAAAGGGATCGGCAGGAAAAAGAGGGGTGAGAATGGGGAGTGGCGCAAAAGGGCAGGACACACATTTCGCGGATCTGCTCTCTTCAGATGTCCCTCGGGAGCACCTTGGGTTCTCCCAGCGAGGGCACAGGGTTACGTAGGTTCATCGTTTGGAGTCGAATCGCACACATGTGTGCAGCTGCCAAGTTTTTTGGAAAAGGGAGTTGAATGCAGAATCACAACGTGGTGCGACCTGGTCACGACATCGGCGAGCGTCGCAATCGCAAAACACATGGAAAGCGACTTCTAGTCAGAGGCGTGCGAAATTTTCCCCGAAAAAACCTTGATCGTGATTGACGATTGTTATGGTGAGGGCATTGGTGTTACGCTGCATCTGATGGTGGTGCTTCACTGCATTACAAGTATATAAGACAACTAGCAGACAATATATGTAGTAAGTGTTGTAGTACATCCTACTGTGATGGGTGCCGTGGCACATCCAAAACGCTGCCTCAACCACCCTAAAACTTGGCTTTAGAGTTTGCCCCAGCATAACACAGAGAAGAGTAACCGCTCCAGCCCAGTGGGGGCAGTGCAGTGCGGATGGTGAAAGGTGTGATGTGAACTGCTAAGGGGTCAGATCAGGAGGAGCGCTCCTCCATAACCCTGATTCACAGCGGCCAATGGATCCAGCATCGCCCATCACCATGCAAACCAAAACTGGCATGTCTTGTGCAGCTGCGGCAGCGCAACACCACACACGCACCCCTACGTAAATGCATTTATTAGATCAGTTGGCATCAAAACTGATGGGCTGAGAAAAAGCCCTTAGGATCTTTTCAAGGCTGAGACTTGGAGTAGAAACGTTGTAATTGCGGAAGCGTGTAATAAACTTTGTTGAAGTATTGAACCACCTTGCACTAGTGTGTGAGAACAAGATGAATTGATTCAGGCAAAGAGATACAAGAATATATATATATATATATATGATTAAAAGGAATACGAAGAGGTGCGATTTAACTGTTTTTTGCTGTTGCGGTTCGATACAGTGATGAGTCGGGCAACTGCTCAATATCGAGTCAGTTGTTTGTCCTTGCTGTCGCGCTGTATTTCGTCGAGTCAAAGGTCGAAGACCTTTGACATTCGCGTAACCTCCAGCTGTTACTTTTTTGTCAACCTCCTCGGTTGACTCGCTGTTGCTTCGCTGTGAGTTGCCTCGTTTGTAGTCTTATTGTTTCGACACAAGAGGAGCGTTTAAATTAATTGTTTCCAACACTCCCCTTCGTTTCTGGAGTGTCGCTGCTGATGACGTGGACTTGTCCAGTCAGCAGCATGCAGTACTCGAACTTCTGCTTTCCGAGTTTCTTGGTCAAGTAATCGGCTGCCATCTCGGATGCGGGACAGTAGGATAGCTCAAGACTCCCCTTCTCGATTTCGTCTTTTACGAAGAAATACCGGAGGGCGATGTGCTTCGTTCGATTCGCAAACCCGTTCTTGTTCGCTATACGAATGGCCGATTGGTTGTCGCAGAACAGGGAGAAGTTGGGTAACTTAGCCAGCTTTGCTTCTTCCAGTAGTTCGCGAAGGTATAATCCTTCCTTGGTGGATGAGCAGAGAGCGATATATTCTGCTTCAGCTGAGGAGAGAGCAATTAGCTCTTGCTTGCTCGACTGCCATGAGATAGGGCCGATATGTTCGAGTCGGTAGATGTAGCCAGTGCGCGATCACCTGTTGTCTGAGTTGCCGGCGTGGTCAGCATCCACATAGCCGATTGGTTTGGGCGTCGTAGTTCCAGTCTTGTGGTAGGTTAAGCCGACCGTCGGGGTGCTGACGAGGTAGTGAAGTGCACGGTCGAGCTCCGTCATGTGATCTGCTTCAGGTTTCTTGAGATGGGTGGCGAGTTGACTAGCTGAGTAAGATAGATCTGGTCGGCAGATAACGGCTGCGAAGAGTAGACAGCCTAGCTTTCGTTGGTAGTCGAGAATGCCGGCGGGTTTGAGTAGGGCAGACGCTACCTTGCGATTTCCGTCAGTGTAGCGATATGGCGTGGTGATGGTAGCTGGAGTTAGTCTGAAACGTTTGGCGATGGTGTCGGGGTATTTCGCGGCGCTGAGGTAGATTGCGTTTTCCCCGTCTTGTATGTTGAGTCCTAGGTATTGTGTCACGGTAGACGAGACGGTGAGTGTGATGTCCCGCTGTAGCTCCTCTTCAAACCAGGTCGGTACGTCGTCGGTAGAGCCGATGTAGAGTAGGTCGTCCACATAGACTATGATTAAGATGTAGTCGGTACCCTTCGTAAGACGATACATCCCTTGGTCGTGCGGTAGTTGGCAGAATCCGATGCGGATTAGTCGGGCGTGAAGATGTTGCTGCCACAGTCTCGGGGCTTGCTTGATACCGTACAGTGATTTTTCCAGCTGAGAGACTTGATTGGGGTCTGTGTTGAGTCTGTGTGGTTGTTCGACAAAGATCCCAGCGTCGACGGGAGCATACAGAAAAGCGTTGGCGACGCCGATTTGGCGGAGCTTCTTCCGCTTCATGGCGGCTATCGCGAGGAGAATCCGCAATGAGGTGTGACGGCTAACTGGCGCGAATGTTTCGGTGAAATCTCGTCCGTGCTCTTGATCGAAGCCGCGCACGACCCAGCGCGCTTTAAACTTATCGATCGTTCCGTCCGCTTTCGTTTTCACGCGGAAAACCCATTTTCCCGTGAGAATAGTCTTGTTGCGTGCCACTCCGATAGGTACGACTTTCCAGGTGTTGCGGTCTTGCAGCGCCTTTAATTCTCTGTCCATGGATTCGCGCCATTTTTCCCTGTGTTCCCCCCCCAGAGCCTGCTGAATGGTAGGAGGCTCCTTAGGTGGTGCAGCTCCGTGGACAGCGGTGACGAGTCCCAGTATCTGCAGCCCACTCTGTGTGTAGCGGGGGAGATTTGCGTCCTCGGGATAAGTTGCTTCGTCTCCCGCTTCTGGATCAGGTAAGAAGTTGGGCCCTATGCGTTCGGAGACGTTGGTGTCGACCGGTTGGGGTGTAACGTAACCGTTGTCGGCGAAGTCGTAGTAGACTTCGGCGTTGACACTTTCGCGAGGGTTGTCATCATCCATCGAGATGGGTACGGAGCAGTATGGAAGTGGTCCTGCTTCCTCGGATGCGCCGTCCACATTTTGCTCGTCCCAGTCAGCTTCTTCAGCTGGTGTGGCGAAGGCTCGGTTGCCACGGAAGCCGCCAGCGAGGTCTCGATTTGCTGCTAGGTTGTCCAGGTACGTTTGAAGGGAGAGTCGTTCGTAGAAAATGACATCACGTGCTGCTGCTGTTTCCTTCGAGTGGACGTCGAAAATCTTCCATGCGTTGTAATGCTTTTCGATGTCCAGGTGTAGTCCCCACTGTGCGCGTTGTGAAAATCTTCCGGCTCGTGCAGGTGAGGGTCGGTACTGTACCATGCATCCGAATACCCGTAACATTTTTGTGCTGCCCAATTTTCTTGTCCACAGCAGATGCGGTGATGCATTGTTCGGGAGCGATGATGACGATAGCAAGTTGTGCAGCATGACAGCGTGGTCCATCGCCTCGGGCCACTGGTGGTTGGGCAGTCGCATGCCGCGTAGCAGTTTGCGCATGGTGTTCTGGAGGGTCCTGTTCGTTCTTTCTGCCACGCCTTGCTGTTGATGGGCGTAGGGGAGCGAGATGAGTCGCTTGATGCCTCGTTCTGCTAGGTACTGCTTGAACCTCTGTGACTGATATTCTCCTCCCCCGTCTGACTGGAAGCTTTTCAGATTTACTCCTGATTCTTGTTCTGCCACAGATAGCCAGGCGACGAAGGCTTCGAAGGCCATGTCGCGACTCGGTAGGTTGAGATGCCAGACGTATCGGGTGGCGACGTCGATGATGGTGATGACGTAGTTGTATGCTCCCTGTCCGTGTTCGCGTGTATACAAGATGTCGCTGTAGAATTTCTCCAATGGTGCGTAAACTGGCGCGCTTGGATTGTGGTGAGAGATAAACGGTTGATGAGGTAAAACGGCTTCGGAGCAGGAAAAACATGTACCTCGGACTCGTTGGAGTTCTCTGCCGTCGGTAAGAAGTAGGGAGTCTTTGTCGAGTACTCCTGCCTTGATTGTGTTGTTTAACGTTGTGTTGCTTGGGTGACCCAGTCTTTCGTGCCACAGTGATTCACTCGCTCGGTGTCCTGGTGAGCGCCTGTATAGGTCGGAGTTGGAATAGAAGCCGGTGGTGAAGTTGGTGCTTCTGTGGACTTCTTGTGGAGTGGGAGTCAACTGTTGAGCGGAAGTCGGTGGCGTGTCGTCGATGGGGAACGGTGTTGTTGAAGGACCAGCGAGTGGTGTGGTGGTCGTTGTTCCTGCTACCGATGTTGTTTCTGCTGCCAATGTTGTCTCTGCTGCTGTCGATGTTGTCTCTGCTTGCCGAATTGTTGCTAACGCTCTTGTTCTTTCTGCTTCAGGTATGGTGTGTGAGTACCAAAATCCTCCAGGACTGAAGTCGGGGTCGAGATCTGGTGGATGTGTCCAAGAAGTGAAGTTGACGATGTCGTCACTGTCGGCGGTGCCTTGGTCCGGAACGAAGTCAAGAACGAAGACATTATTCTTCAAGACCGCTTTGCCGATGTAGAGTCCACCCTTCCCGTGGTACAACTTGAACTCTTGAGTGGTGCTATCTGCTTCGAGATGAATCCCCTTCGCCATTAGTTGACTGACGCTGAGTAAGTTGTAGCCGAGTCCTTCTGCAATTAAAACTTTTGACATTTGTAGAATAACGTTTGTTTCTCGAGATTGAAGTTGAACTATCCCCTGTCGTCGTGTGTGCATGTTCTGGTTGTTGGCGACGGTGATTACGACTTCGCGCTGAAGTTGGTGTTCTTGTTGAACGAAGCGACCCGAGGAGCACATGTGCTGTCCGCAGCAGCTGTCCAAGAACCAGGTGTCTTGCCCGGACGGCTCGCTCTGGGCGATGGCTGCATACGCCGGGTTGGGATCCAGTGATTCGCGGCGAGGAGTGCTCTCGTCGAGTTGTTCTTCTGGTGAATAGTATGGTGGCGATCCGGTGATGCAGGAGTCTGTCATTTTTGTCATGCAGCTCACGATGTTTCTTGTGCCTTGTGCAGGTGTTGTGGTCGATGTCGTTGAGGACTGTACTTGAGTGGTGGGATGCGCCTGTGTAGAAGCCACTTGACTGCTTGAGGGACGAAGTTGGTGTTGTGGCGACGTTGACTGCTGCTGATTTGGGCAGTGTGTGCGAGGGTGTCCTGTCGTCTTGCAAAGATGACAGAACGGTGGTACGTACTGTTAAGTTTGATGTTTGTTCTGTCGATTGTTGTTGTAGCGCCGTTGAGTGTGAAACGCGAACTCTGGTGCTGACGCTCTCTTCTTGTGTCGTTCTTTGTGTAGGCCCATGTCCTGCTATTCAGCATGAATTTCAGCGCACAGTGCCGCTTCGGAGATCTTCCCGTGAGCTCGGAGAATAGCTCGAGTGGAGCGCCAATGAGGACCAAGGCCAGCGATGACAACTGTCACGAAGGCTACTTCGGATATCGATCCTCCGCATCGAAGGAGTCTGTCGCGCAGTCCACGACAACGGCTGATATACGCCATCCCTTTTTCGCCGGGTTTCATTTCCATTGTTGTCAGCTGTGCCATGAGTCGACTTTGATTAACATTGTCTGTTGCTTGATACAGGTCCTTCAGATGGTTGTATGCAAGTTCGGCGGAGTTGCCGTACCCTCAATAGGACCGGATGTTCTGCTGCTCGTTTGGCGTTATATTTCGTAGAAGTATCGTGTACGCCATGTCGGAGAACCTTCCTTCTCCCAGCCCATGCTCTGCTCCTCGTACCTACTCTTCTCCCTGCTCCCGCTCTTCTTCCTGCACCTGCTCTTCTCCTGCTGTCTCTCTGCTTCCTCCCTTCTCCGTGTTGCAAAGCCTCACTCAACCGCTGCCCCCTCCTGTGCTCGTGCTCTAGCCGCTTGAGCTCGTGTCACAGGACCCTCTTGGAGATGCCTCACTCGTACCACTGCTCCCTCCTCTGTTTCCTCCCATGGCCTGTCCTCTCCTCCCGGCACTCATCCTCCCTCCCTTCTTCCCTCTGCCCTGTTCCCGTGATACCTTCCCTTCTCTGCCTCAGCCACCACATGAACGAGTTTCCTCCCTCACCCCGTAGGTCCTCCCCTAGTGGCGTGCCACCGGATGCTAGATCAGAGGTAACAGCTTTCCACTAATATGAGAGAATAACAGCACGAAAGCATCGAGGGGTTGGCTGTGACTGCCCTTACCCAACCCCAAGCTTGCACATTCCCAAAAGTGCGGCTCGGGGTTGGGACTGCTTGGCTTCCTATTTCGCCCTTCGGTGCCTTTTCCCTCGCAATCCCAACCGCTCCCATCCAATTTCCCCCTTTCTACACCCCTCCCTAACAGTAACTTTCCTACGTTCTACACCTACAACTGATTCCTAACTAATACTCTTATAACTAGCTAATGTTCCCATAACAGCCACTACAAGCCCCCCTTACACCATCATCCTACTGTTATTGCATATGCATTAGGTGCATATGCGGTGACAGCTGTCGGAGAACCTTCCTTCTCCCAGCCCATGCTCTGCTCCTCGTACCTACTCTTCTCCCTGCTCCCGCTCTTCTTCCTGCACCTGCTCTTCTCCTGCTGTCTCTCTGCTTCCTCCCTTCTCCGTCTTGCAAAGCCTCACTCAACCGCTGCCCCCTCCTGTGCTCGTGCTCTAGCCGCTTGAGCTCGTGTCACAGGACCCTCTTGGAGATGCCTCACTCGTACCACTGCTCCCTCCTCTGTTTCCTCCCATGGCCTGTCCTCTCCTCCCGGCACTCATCCTCCCTCCCTTCTTCCCTCTGCCCTGTTCCCGTGATACCTTCCCTTCTCTGCCTCAGCCACCACATGCCCCCTCCAGAGCTCGTGCTCGGGTCTCCCGTGCACGAGGCACTGGACACTCTTGCTGAGGCCGGGGTACTTCTCACCACTGCAGTATTGGTGGTCCCCTGTCTTCTCTCTTCGCCCACTCTCTGACACAGCACTCCCGCCCCCTCAGATTCGTCGCCCTCCTTCTCTGTGTGCCCAGCATCACTTCCTGTTCCAGAGTATCCTTCTGTCCCCCCGAGGGGTAGACTTCCTGTCTCACTCCTTCTGCCGCCCTTGTGCTTGGTGCAGCCCTGCTGCAGCCGCTCCTCTGGCCTGTGTGCATCTCTCAGCTGCACTGTCTGTAAGTTCTCCCGTGCTGCCGGCAGTCCTTCCCTCAGGTACCTTGCCCTGGTTTCTACCAATGCCACGCCATTCTCCACCCCTCCTGTTCCCACTGTCTGTGTCACGAGTGTGACCTCCCTCCCCTGCCCGCTCATTGCCCCCCCCCCCACCGTCCACTTAGATCCTTCCTTTGCAGTCCACCCTGCCCATCCTCCCTCCTCATCCTCCACTCCCGCCTCCGCTGCTGCTGCTACACACTCAGGTGCCCCTACTTTCTCTTCCTTCCCTTCCTCTTCTCCTGCCGCTGCTCCACACGCCTGTGTCTCCAAATTCTCTTCTTTCCCTTCCTTTTCTGCTGCTGCTGCTGCACACGCCTGTGTCCCCAACGTCTCTTCCTTCCTTTCCGCTTCTGCTGCTGCCGCTGCACACGCCTGTGCCCCAACTTCTCTCCTTCCCTTCCTCTTCTGCTGCTGCTACTACACACGCCTGTGCCCCCCAACTTCTCGTCTTTCCCTTCCTCTTCTGCTGCTGCTACTGCACACGCCTGTGCCCCCAACCTCGCTTCTTTCCCTTCCTCTTCTGCTGCTGCTACTGCACACGCCTGTGCCCCCCAACTTCTCTTCTTTCCTTTCCTCTTCCGTTTCCGCTGCTGCTGCTGCGCACGCCTGTGCTCTCTCCTTCTCTTCCCTCCCTGCCGCTTCTGCTACTTCTGGTTTGCATGCCTGTGCCCCCACCTTCACTGCCCCGCTTTCCGCTTCTGCTACTGCTGTCATGCACGCCTGTGCCCCCACCTTCACTGCCCCGCTTTCCGCTTCCGCTACTGCTGTCATGCCCGCCTGTGCCCCCACCTTCACTGCCCCGCTGTCCGCTTCCTCTACTGCTGTCATGCCCGCCTGTGCCCCCACCCTCACTGCCCCGCTTTCCACTTCCGCTACTGCTGTCATGCACGCCTGTGCCCCCACCTTCACTGCCCCGCTTTCCGCTTCCGCTACTGCTGTCATGCCCGCCTGTGCCCCCACCTTCCCTTCCCTCCCTTCCGCTTCTGCTGCCACTGGTACACCCGACCATGCCCCCACCTTCTCGTTCTTCCCTCCCGCTTCCGCCGCTGCTAATGCACACGCTTCTGCCCCCACCTTCTCGTCCCGCTCCTCCGCTCCCGCTGCTGCTGGCACGCACGCTTCTGCCCCCACCTGCTCATCCCGCTCCTTTGCTCCTGCTGCTGCTGGTGCGCACGCTTCTGCCCCCACCTGCTCATCCCGCTCCTTCGCTCCTGCTGCTGCTGGTGCGCACGCTTCTGCCCCCACCTGCTCATCCCGCTCCTTCGCTCCTGCTGCTGCTGGTGCGCACGCTTCTGCCCCCGCCTGCTCATCCCGCTCCTTCGCTCCTGCTGCTGCTGGTACGCACGCTTCTGCCCCCGCCTGCTCATCCCGCTCCTTCGCTCCTGCTGCTGCTGGTACGCACGCTTCTGCCCCCGCCTGCTCATCCCGCTCCTTCGCTCCTGCTGCTGCTGGTACGCACGCTTCTGCCCCCGCCTGCTCATCCCGCTCCTTCGCTCCTGCTGCTGCTGGTACGCACGCTTCTGACCCCGCCTGCTCATCCCGCTCCTTCGCTCCCGCTGCTGCTGGTACGCACGCTTCTGACCCCGCCTGCTCATCCCGCTCCTCCGCTCCCGCTGCTGCTGGTACGCACGCTTCTGACCCCGCCTGCTCATCCCGCTCCTCCGCTCCCGCTGCTGCTGGTACGCACGCTTCTGACCCCGCCTGCTCATCCCGCTCCTCCGCTCCCGCTGCTGCTGGTACGCACGCTTCTGACCCCGCCTGCTCATCCCGCTCCTCCGCTCCCGCTGCTGCTGGTACGCACGCTTCTGACCCCGCCTGCTCATCCCGCTCCTCCGCTCCCGCTGCTGCTGGTACGCACGCTTCTGACCCCGCCTGCTCATCCCGCTCCTCCGCTCCCGCTGCTGCTGGTACGCACGCTCCTGCCCCCGCCTGCTCGTCCTGCTCCTCTGCTCCCGCTGCTGCTGGTGTTACTGACATACACGCCCATGCCCCCACCTTACTCACTAGCTCCCTTCGTATGTCCCTGCCCCCACTGCGCAGCCACATGCCTGCATGGCCACGCAGCACCGCACCGGAGTGTTCTGGCTCCTGCCCCTCTTCCTCCTCCGCGTACAACCCCGCTTGCCCCTGAGTTCTTTCTCCCAGTGCCTGCAGTTGGGCTCGTAACTGTTCGATCTGTTCCTCGATCTCCTTGGGTGATCTCCTTGCATCCCTTCCTTTCTCATAGCAGTTTCTTGCCCGATTCCCACACACCTCACAGCTCGGTGCATCTGGGCAGTCCCTCCGTCGGTGCCCAGGCTTTCCGCACACATCACAGTTCTTGCACTCCCTCCTGATATGCCCCTCCTGCCCGCACCTGTGGCACGTCCGTGTTTCTGCTCGCCTCTCCTGCCACTGCTCCTCCCCACCCCCGTCCTCGGTTATCATCACTGCAGCCCACCTGGGCCGCCCTTTCTCTAACACCCTCGGCAGGTACGCCTCATACCGCCGCTGCGCCAGCTCCACTCTCTCTGCCAACTCAAACACCTCCTCCAGCGTTGCTTCAGCTCCCAACTCATACACTCTCATTCTCAGCCCGCCGCTCAATCCCTCATCCAGACCCCCCAGGAACTTGCTTATAAGCATGCTGCCATCTGTGCACACCACGTCTTCCGCCAGATCCGTCAACCTACCGTAGTAAGTGAGCAGTGACTCGGCCCTCCCTCGCTGGAATTCCTGAAATTCTCTCACCCTCTCCGCCGTGTGCCCTGGAAACTGCTTCCGCAGCCGCTCTAGGAACAGAGTGGTTGGGTCCTCATCCTCCTCCTCTGCCCTCCTCAGCCATTCCTTCATCTTCATACGATATAGCGTCTCAGCTTCGCCTCCCAGCGTGTTCGGTAGGCTCAAGAAAAACTCTATCGGGTCCATCCCACTCCTGTCGCAGCGGTACTTCACATTACCGATTTGCATCAGGTAATTCTTCAGGTTTGTGTCTGACCCTGCTCCCCCCGTAAAGCGCACTGGCACCTCCACCTGAGGTGGGGCCTGCGCACTCCACCTCCCTGTCTCCCAAGTCCCTGAGCTCTCATTCCTCCTCCTACTCTCTCCCCTCCTCTCCCTCATCTCCCTGCTTCTTGACTCTGTCCCATACAGCACTCGACCACTTCCTTCCCTGGCTGCCCTTGCCCCCGTAGCGCCTACCCATGACTGCTGCCGCCTTCTCCGCCACGTCGGACCTATGCTCCTTCCCCCCTCTCTCTCTTGAGCCTCCCCATATCTCTCCGATCCCCACCCTGGTCTCTCCCTCTTCTCCGGGGAATGTTCTTTCCAACGCCCCTCCCTTCGGCCCGACCTGTGGCGCGTAGGTCCGTCACACTCTCCTTCGTCGTCACTCTCCGTTTCATGCGCAAGCATCATTTCCCGTCGCCTACTCTGCTTCTCTTCACCCCTTTTCCTTGTTCCCCTGCTGCCCGAGCTTGCCCCATACAGTGCCCGTTCTGTCCCCTCTCTGGCCGCTCTGGCTCCTTCGGATCCTCCTCCTGATTGCCATCGCCCCCTCGGGCCCCTTGTGCTCGGACCCTTCCTCGCTCTCTCTGCTTCTCTGCTCCGTCCCACCGCCTTTCCTTCCCATCATGCGAGTGCTCCTGATACCGCCTTTCTCGCTCCACATCTTCCCGCCGCCGTCGGTTCCCTCTCCCCCTTTCTTCTGCCCTTGTTGCGCCCAGCGATCGTCGTGCACCTTCCCTGATGCGTCCCTCCTCACGCCCCCCTCCTCTCTCTGGTGAGCACCACCCATCTCTTTCCTCACAATCCTCTCGCTCCCCGTCCGGACCTGCTCGTCTACCCCGTTTTTCCTCTGGCTTACTCTCCCGTCGCCCACGTTGCTCCTCACCTCTCTCTCTCTGTCTCTCTCTCCCCCAAACAGCAGGCCCCCGTTGACCTGCCAGTCTCCCTCGCTCATACTGCTCCCTCCGCACCTCTGGCGATCGCCGCGCGGCCATCGCCACGCGTCTCCTCCCACGTCCTCGCAGCTCAGGCGAGCTGTACCGTCCCGTTGGCGCATGGTTTTTCCTGCTGTCCTCCCGAAGATCGTCCGGCGAGCGACCTGCCGCTGCGGTTCCGCGGCGCCTCGCATCTCCCTCGCGCACCTCCTCTGGCGAACGATCTGCCGCCATGTTCCCTTGGCGCCACTCCCGCGCATCCGTTCTGGCGAGCTGTCTGCATCCGCTCTCCCGCGGCGCCTTGCGCTGCCACCTCGCATTTCGTCTGCCGAGCGACCTGCATCCTTGCCTCCGCAGTGCCTCACGCTGTTTCCACCTATTTCGTCCACCGTACCATCTGCATCCGCGCCCCCGCGCCCTTCGTCTGCCAATCCGTCTGCATTCGCGCCCCCGCGGTGCCTCGCGCCCTCCTCACGCCCTTCGTCTGCCAATCCGTTTGCATCCGTGCTCCCGCAGCGCCTCACGCTTCCCCTGCGCATGTCTTCCGGCGAACAACCTGTCGTCATGTTCCCGTGATGCTTCGCGCCGCCTCCGCGCATCCTTACCGGCGAGCAATTTCCTCCCGCCTCCTTGCTCTCTCCGTCGCGCCCTTCTTCCGCCACTTCCTCCCTCTCACCATCCCGCGCCATTGGGATGGCGCCGTCTGCTTCTTCCGCGCCGTCTGCTTCTTCTGCGCCGTCTGCTTCTTCCGCGCCGTCTGCTTCTCCCGCGCCGTCTGCTCCTTCCGCGCCGTCCGCTTCTTCCGCGCCGTCTGCTTCTTCCGCGCCGGCTGCTTCTTCCGCACCGTCTGCTTCTTCCGCGCCGTCTGCTCCGCTTGCCGAATCGGACGAATCTACCCCGTCCACACCGTCGTGACGCCTTACACCCGTTCCGCGCTGGCCTCCTGCCAGAATCCGCGGGTCACTGCCCATCCTGGGCTCCGACCTGACACCTTCAGCTCGCCCACCGACGGGCGTCACCAAATCCGCGCCGTACGCCGCCCTCCGTGGCGAACGCGCAAGTGATCTCCCATGCTCTCGTGAGCGCATCCTCCGCGACGGCAAGATTTCCCGTCGCGAGTCTGTCCGCTGCCAGCGCAGCTCGTGGCAGTCCATTCTATGCTATTTGCTCGAACCGCTCGATGGGCTTTCGTGCTGTTATGAACGAGTTTCCTCCCTCACCCCGTAGGTCCTCCCCTAGTGGCGTGCCACCGGATGCTAGATCAGAGGTAACAGCTTTCCACTAATATGAGAGAATAACAGCACGAAAGCATCGAGGGGTTGGCTGTGACTGCCCTTACCCAACACCAAGCTTGCACATTCCCAAAAGTGCGGCTCGGGGTTGGGACTGCTTGGCTTCCTATTTCGCCCTTCGGTGCCTTTTCCCTCGCAATCCCAACCGCTCCCATCCAATTTCCCCCTTTCTACACCCCTCCCTAACAGTAACTTTCCTACGTTCTACACCTACAACTGATTCCTAACTAATACTCTTATAACTAGCTAATGTTCCCATAACAGCCACTACAAGCCCCCCTTATACCATCATCCTACTGTTATTGCATGTGCATTAGGTGCATATGCGGTGACAGCCATCAGCGACTGATATGTGTACTGCTGTTTGTCATATTGTGTCTCATGTGTTGGGTATGGTAGGGACCCGTCGAAGAATCCAAGAATTTGCGCGCCCTCCATCATCAGCTCGAATTCGAATGACCAGGTATAGAAGTCTTGAACTTGAATTCGATGTCTGTAGTTTCAAGACGTGTGCGAATTGTGATTGAACTTGAAGCGCGTCCAGTGTCTTCTCTTGTCCAGGTGAAGCTGATGGAGCCACGTTGAGGTTTGTACGGGGCAAAGGTAGGTTGCTGCTTGTTTCCGCGCGCATAGGATGAACCGTCAAGGCTTCTTGGAGTAACTCCATTGTTGTTGTCGCTGTTGTTTGATTTAGAAAGCTTGCTTTCTTGTGTTTGCAATGGCAACGAGCTTCGTTTCAAATGGGCATTACAACATTCTCGTCCTACTTAGATATGGTACCTACATTACAAGTTACAACATGCAATTTTTGCTAGGGTGGGTGGGTGGGAAATAAGACATTTGAAATTTCAACGAAGACGTGGGTGGAGGCCAAATGGCCTCCACCCCCTGCTATATAGTTGGCGAAGAGCGTAGAGCACTTCGCCGTTGCCATTGCTGCATTACAAGCAGCTTCGCTTTCGAAATATACATTTTTAGAAAGTGTTACACACTTTCAAAAAACTTCATATTTAGAAAGCTTGCTTTCTTGTGTTTGCAATGGCAACGAGCTTCGTTTCAAATGGGCATTACAACATTCTCGTCCTACTTAGATATGGTACCTACATTACAAGTTACAACATGCAATTTTTGCTAGGGTGGGTGGGTGGGAAATAAGACATTTGAAATTTCAACGAAGACGTGGGTGGAGGCCAAATGGCCTCCACCCCCTGCTATATAGTTGGCGAAGAGCGTAGAGCACTTCGCCGTTGCCATTGCTGCATTACAAGCAGCTTCGCTTTCGAAATATACATTTTTAGAAAGTGTTACACACTTTCAAAAAACTTCATATTGCGCAGGTGCTGCTTGCTGATGCTGTTCGTAGAAGGACATGAAGGAGAAGAGCTTCTCCATCATGCTTGGGTCGAGACCTGTTGTTTGGTTCGCGGGAGTTTCGGTAGACTCCGCAGCTGGTCTTGTTGCTGTGCCTTCCTTGTCAGAATCCCAACCACTAGACCATTGGGATAAAGGGGCTTGTTAAGTAGCGGGTCAGTGCGCCCATAACCCCCCAGGACAACGAGCCTGTAACCCTTCCCTAGGATCAATCGGGGATCACCAGTGGACCTCTGACAACCCCCCGCACTGGGATGCCCGAAGTGCACTCACTGGGATTCGAACCCGAGACCTTCGCTCTGATACCATGTCAGTTTCCCAACCACTAGATCATTGGGATAAAAGGGCTTGTTAAGTAGCGGGTCAGTGCGCCCATAACCCCCCAGGACAACGAGCCTGTAACCATTCCCTAGGATCAATCGGGGATCACCAGTGGAGCTCTGACATTCCTCTGTCTGTAGGCCAGAGACTGGAGGTCGAGTAGGGGTAGTGCCGGGAGTTCCGTTGGAGGAACTCCTCTCCTTCTGGGTTGCCATGCCTTGTACTGTTGTAGGAGTTTGAATAGTCGATTTTGCCTTGCGGGCTCTCATACCATGATGGGCTGAGAAAAAGACCTTAGGATCTTTTCAAGGCTGAGACTTGGAGTAGAAACATTGTAATTGCGGAAGCGTGTAATAAACTTTGTTGAAGTATTGAACCACCTTGCACTAGTGTATGAGAACAAGATGAATTGATTAAGGCAAAGAGATACAAGAATATATATATGATTACAAGGAATACGAAGAGGTGCGATTTAACTGTTTTTTGCTGTTGCGGTTCGATACAATGACGACTCGGGCAACTGCTCAATATCGAGTCAGTTGTTTGTCCTTGCCGTCGCGCTGTATTTCGTCTAGTCAAAGGTCGATGACCTTTGACATTCGCGTAACCTCCAGCTGTTACTTTTTTGTCAACCTCCTCGGTTGACTAGCCGTTGCTTCGCTGTGAGTTGCCTCGTTTGTAGTCTTATTGGTTCGACACAACAGGAGCGTTTAAATTACTTGTTTCCAACAAAAACATGCTGCTCCTGCAGTCTCCACAGGACCACCTCAGCATCGTGGCACCCCGTCACCACGTGGCACTTCACCTCCGCACGTGCACAATGTGCTGTGATTAGCTATTGGGCCGCCACGCTGACATGGCAAGCAGTGGTTGGTCCTTCCAGTTGAGAGTGAGGCTGTTGGATTGCTCTGACGACAGTGAGTATGGGCCCTTGTACCTGCCATGGGGAGGGGAGGGGAAGGCACCAGCACCAGGTGAACAGGGGAAGGCACCAGGTGAACAGGGGAAGGCACCAGGTGAACAGGGCAAGAGAGCATTACGCCAATCAAGGGTGGCATCACAAGCGGCCCACGTTGGTCAAGTGCATACACCAGCGAGCCGAGGCCACTACACAGAGGCCACAGGGGCCTGAAGAGGCGCACTCACGTGGAGAGCAGGGCGGTGGCGGTGGCCACGACCTCACGGCTGAGCGGGTACCCCACGAACCCAGCGCGGTGCACGCGGCGCTCCCACTGCCCCAGCGGCTCCTGCCGCTCCGTGCGGTCCTGCCCCTCACACGCCACCACGTTCACGATGGCGCGCCCCAGCACGCGCTGCTCAAACAGCCGCCGCTCCGTCGAGTCCGCGGGCACGGAGGCGTCGAGGGCGTCAAAGATGGACGCGTAGTAGTGCAGCGCCTCGAGGAAGCGGCTGAGGAAGAAGGGCGAGTTGTGGTTCGTGTTCTGCTCCACCAGCGTCGTCACGGCGGGCGCCAGCGCGCGCATGGTGCGCAGCACGGCGGCGCGCGGGTTGGAGGGAGTGACGGACTCGTCCATGAGGTTGTGCAGGCGCAGCGCACAGTTCACCACGAGCACCTCGTCCGCCTCACAGCGCACCATGGATGGGTGCAGGTCCGGCAGGTTTATGGGGATGAAGTTGAACGTGAACGGCACCCCCCAGCTCTGCGCCACTTTCTGCAGCGCTCAACGCGGGAGGGAGTGGATGGGAGGAGGGCAGGAGAGGAAGGTCGCGTCATGTGTGAGTGATGCCGAGGCTGTGATGTTAGTTGCCTCTTGTGGGTGTGCTAGGAACGATAGAGGAGGTGAAAAGGGAGAAAAACTTGATGGTGGAAACATGAAAGGGAAAGGAACGACGAACGGGAGGAGAGGGAGTGAAAGAAGGAGAAAGCGGGCGGTTGGTTGGTGGGGAGAGAGAGCGAGAGATGGGGAGACGCACGCGGAGGCGCTGGCCGGCCTGGCGGAGGCAGTAGCCCTTGTGGATGCCGGCCACGAAGGGGCGGTCGATGCCCGTGATGCGCAGGTGCGGTGGCCCCCCCGGCAGCACGGCCAGCGCCTGGATGAGTGGCGGCCACTGCACGGCGTGGCCCAGCCCGAAGTCCACTATGTGCACCTTGCGCGCTCCCTGTATCGCCTCCAGTATCGCGCTGTTGCACGCCACGTGCCCAAACGTCAGGTACGGTGACGCACTCACCAGCACCTGGTGTGTGTGGGTGCCGTAAGGGCAGGGGAACATGGGGGTGTGCAAGGCAATTGTCAAAGCACTTGAGTGCCCACCCACCCGCCCCCTTGTCATACATCCTCCTTCCTGCAAGAGCCTGACATGGCCACAACAACACCGCGCCTCCTCACAGCCACTGCCCCACCTCCCATGTTCCAATAACACCATCGCACCCCAAACGCCCTCACAGCCCCACCGCCCTCACCTCACTCGCCCTTACAACCCCCCCCCCTCATCTCCAAGCCCCCCACTGTGAAGCAGTAAGCGCACCTCAAAGGCGCGCAGCAGCGGGGCATCGCAGTCGATGGAGCGGTAGATGCCCAGCGCGCCCGCTGCCCCCGCACCGTCACTGCCGGGGCAGCCGGGGCCCGTGGGCGCCGTGCCGGAGGCGCGGGCCAGCAGCCCCTCGAGGAAGTAGGCGGACACTCGCTGTGTGGCGTCCCCGTACACTGATGCTACTGCTGTTAGCCGCTCCACCAACACGTGCACCTGGGGGGGGCGGGGGGGAAGGGGGGCAGATGGGAAGGATGGGTGCGTGACGGGACGGGGGAGATGGGCGCAAGGCGTTTCACCAGCACATGCACCTGAGAGCACGGTTCACGTCACGGCGCACGGCGCTGGCATGGGCGCGTGATGGCATGGGGGGATAGGTAGGAGATGGCATGCGAGAGATGAGACGCACCTTCTCTTGCCACGGCCACAAACCGTGCCTCAACGCAACTGTACCCTCTCCCCTCCTCACCTTCTCCTGCTCTCCAACCTCTACCATT